GATTTTTACCATGAGTGGTGTTACTGGTGTGACTTTACTTGGCCATGAGATTCAGAAGCCTTTGGAACTGCTTTGCAGGAAGAGTTTGGAAAGGTTTCTATGCTCAGGCTTGAGAAGCCCTAGAATACTATGAGCAATGTTTGATAAGTGACCATGGTCAGAGCTCAGAAAATAAGAATGCTGATAGACAATGGGCACAGTAAAGATCAGGCTGAGGAGTTTTCATATATAAACAAGGACTCCAGTGGTTATTAGAATAAAGGCCATGTTGTTACACTTTGATAGAAAATTTGTGTTCATTTTTCCCATGTATTGAGACTCGGATTAAAGATAGTGGACTACATTATCAAATGGAAATTTCAAGGCCACCCATTGTTGATGCTGTGGCCTGAGTACTACTGGCCACTCAGCCCAAAGAACAGTAAGAATCAGGAGCAAAAAGCAGAGAAGAATGACATGAAGCTTGGACATAACAGAAATGCCTATAAAGTTGAGGCAAAGACAGTGTGATTTCTGAAAATGAAGCCAAATATTCAGCATTAAAAAACATTGGAAAGGGCCAGGGATTTAGCTCAGTGGTGCTGATGCCTATCTTGCAAACACAAGGATGTGAGTTCAATCCCTGGTACTAAAAATATAGTGTTAATAACATAAGGAAGATGACTTGAAGGCATCTCAGAAATTGGCCAGACCCTCCCCACTGCAGGCTCAAGGGTGGAAAAAAGTGAACTACTTTGAAAGACTTAATTTTGAAAGGAAAATATTAGTATGTACTGCTCATTAGAATAGCACATTCTCGCAAATGACTGCACCAAGATCAGCTATTCATTCATTTAGAAGCTGCTGAAGCCATAGTCCAAATGGGATCCAGTACAGGTCAAGCTGGAGCAGATCATTGTGCCATCCACAATGCCTTGGATTTTCAGGAGCTCTGAATGCAAGAGGTGTGGAATCACAGTATTGCACCCAGAGTTCAGAAGAAGGCTCTGGAGCTCGTGTGTCACCACAGCTCATCCTGCATGCTGAATGTGCAGCTGCAGAATTGAGAGATTGCTCTACTGGTTGTTGGTCTTGGTTGGCTTGATTTTTTGTATCTCTCTATTTTTCCCTTTGAGAAAAGAAATGTTTACTCAGTGACGTTATAGCTAGGAATTATTTAATTTTTTCACATTTTACAGAGATGTTAACAGATAAGGGTTGCCTTGAGTCTCAAAAGAGACTTGGGCTTGGGCTTTGGAAAAATGACAGCGTTTTTGAGATTATGAGAAATAGATGATTTGCATTTCTGGTTGTATACCTGGTAGGTAGAGTTAGAAACTCATGGTTGTCTTTGTTTGGACACCAAATATAGCTTAGGATGTGTCCCAAGTTGTGCGTAAGATGTTACCCAGGGCAACCCATTTGGGACCTCTCCTGTCTCTCAGGAGCTGTTCTTATTTCCCATTTCTGCTTGCCATTGCTATTTCCCAATGAAGTTTCCTACTTTTAAAACTCTCTTTTTTCTTAGAATTCATTGTTTCACTTTGGGAATGTGAGTTTGGTGCATTTAACATCTAGCAGATGGGAAGTTATATTTATTTCCCCTCTTTAACTTTGGGAGTCCCTCCGAGATCTTTGGAAGGAGGTGAAGAACAATGTCTGTATGACTCTTAGAAAGGCCATTCCCATGAGCCACTGCCTCCTTCTCAGCACCAGAATTCTGTAAAGAGCGCACCTCACAAAGTCCTACTGAAGGGCAGGGAAGCTGGGGAACTTATCCACCAACTCTGCTCTCTGTGGGCTCAGAGGAGCTCCTGGGTGTCAGCTTCCTGTGCCTAGCACAACGCTTCCTATAAGAAATGATGCATTTTGATTTATGGTTTGGGAGGTTCTGCTCCATGCACATTGCTTTGTGCCTGAGAGGAGGTGGCACGTCGTGCTGAGAATGCATAATAAAACCAAGCTGTTCACCTTAGGGCCAGGAAGCAAAAACATAGGAGTCTGGGTTAGACAGCCCTCTCTGGAACTCTAATCACAAAAGGACCCGGAGTTCCCACAGGCTCCCGGTGCTCCAGCTTGGAACCCAGCCTTGCACACACAGGGACCTTTGGGGGACACTCAAGATCTGAACTACAGTGATGAGATGAGCCTGCCCTATCCGGAGAACATCCTCAGGCAGCACAAGAACAGAGCTTTTGGATGTGGGCAACCTGTCTGTTGGAACCGACAGGATGGATGGATGTGGTACGGCACAGGCAGCTGGGACTGCGCCTCCTCTCCTTGGCTTCCTCAGCACTGAGACCACAGTTGGAAGTTTATGAACAACACTCAGCACATGTTGAGTGAACACAGGGATGGTGGAGGAACACATGTACAGAAACAGTTTTTTTCAATTCTTATTGTTTTATTTGTACACGTTTTTAGTGCATACTTATTGCTGTCCTTGTGGGGCTTTGCTACGTCTCAATTTGTGCACATCACATCTCAATTCTGTTTTCATCCACTTGCCCCCCTCCCCCCATCTCATGCGCCCCCTCCTTATTTGCAAAGGATTGATCTCCCAATTTCCTACTAGCTTTCATTTTTGTTCTTTACTTATGTTTTGGGTTTCACATGTGAGAGAAATTGTATGATATTTAAGTTTGCCTGTCTGATTTATTTCATTTAACATTATGGTCTCAAGATGCATCCATGTTCCTAAAAATGACTGAAGTTTATCTTTCTTTATGGCAGACTAGTACTCCATTTTGTAAAAATATCGCATTTCTTTATCCATTCACCTGTTGGAAAACAGACATTTGGTAATTTTCAAGCTTTAGCTATTGTTAATTGTGCTTCCATAAACATAGATATGCATATATCACTGTAATATAATGTCTTTAACTCTCTTGAGAGGAAACTTAGAAGGGGAATATCTGGCTCAAATGAAATTTCTAGTTTTAATTTTCTGAGGAATTTCTGATTCATTAGCAATTGTACCACTTTACATTCTCAACAAACTAAACAATTATGAATTACAGTTTAATGGTGTGACAAATGCTGCTCAATAGCAAAAAACCCATGTAGGCCCATTTATGTATTTATGCCCTTTTAAAACCAACTCAAATCTCTATGAAAATTATTTGTTTTTAGTTTGAGGTTCTGGACTAGAATGGATTGAGAAGACTTTCTGCAAGGCTATCAAACCAACAGGCAAAAATGGGAGTCTCCCTGGGGAGCACCATGCAAATTATAAACTGTGATGTAGATAAAAGCTAATACCATTCTCCCCTTGTGTCTGGGTATGGGGTTCTCCAAACCCCACTGCTAGTCCATCTCACTGTTATGTAGCTGTGGTAGTCACAGGAGTGGGGGTTTCTTTGTACTGAGCCATCACTCACCTGTTTAATTGCACATGGTTGAAATACCTGCTTCTTCATCGTTATCTGTGTGACTGAAGTCAGGAGGCTTGATCTTTGTGGGCCTCTCTTTCCACAACCGTACAATGCCCATGACAATGCTCTACAGCACTATGCTAAGAGCTGACCTCTCATTTCTAGCTGTCTTGGTTCAAATTTAGGATCTACTAGTTACTGGTTTGATTTATAATGGGTTCCTTGATATCTTCAGGCTTTCTTTGTAGACTGGGGATGATATTAGGACCTAATCTGTGGGGTTGTGGTGATGCATTTACTAAGTGATGTATAAGTTTAATTTATTATTTTATCTTTCAGTATCACCACAGGCAACAAATGAGATAATATATGTAAAGTTAATGTAGAGTAAAATGCCTGGCATGAACTCAATATTATGCTATAATCATCTTTCAAAACCATAAAAAAGGATACTATCCAGATGTGTGAATGTCAATGGGCTAAAAAACACCTCACAGATTAGTGAAGCTCACTCTTGGGGGTGTCCAGGTGCATCGGCGAGGTGATCTTGGGAAGGACATATGGTCTGTCCCCTATTTTCCTGTGCCTCCATTACAGTGTTTGCTTTGATTCCTCCAGGCAATCTCTCCACACCACCTGCAGTCATATGCTGGTTGATTCCATGTCATTACTCATGTCAGGATACTCTCAGGGATCCCTCTCTTAAATGCCCAGCATCCACTGTCTCCCTTCTCTTATCCTCTGGTTTGACCCATGGCCTCCACGATGTGAGCAGTTTTGTTGTAATTATTCACTTTGCAACACAGGAGACCCTGGCTCCATGTGGACTTCCATACTTGAAATGTGTACAGTACAGATTGTAATGTACTTCAACAAGAAACATACACAAGAATGATGGAATAGAATAAAAACAAAATATGAGCGAATATTAATTTCATACCAATTATATAGAAATCACTAGGTATCATTTTGTGAAGAAAGTGTGAGAAAACTGTGCCAAGCCCTGTTCCCTTTCTGAACTCTCTGTGCCCACTACAAATCAGACCCCTTGTCTGCACACACAGATGAGAACCATAAGAGTTTCAGAAATGCTTAGCAAGTAGACACTAATGAAACTCACCCGTTTTGGAAAATTGCCCTGATCATCACCCCACTTGCTCTCTTTCCTTCCCTACACATAGATGTTTTGTACTTTTGCTGTGGCCCCACAAATAAGTAACTTGAGACTCATAGTAAAAAAAAGAATACTATGTGCTCAAACATATGATGTGAGATATTTTATTATAATTATAGATAATATAACATTAAAATAATTCTTTTAATATTAATATGGTTACAATACTATTTTGAATAAAAATTACTACAGTTCTTTTTTTTTCTTTCTTTTTTTGTACCAGGGATTGAGCTTAGGTCCTTGCACTTTGAAGCAGTGGCCGGAACCACTGAGCTAAATCCCCAGCCCAAAATTACTAAATTTCTATAGAGCAACTAACATCATTTAAACTAACACTGTGTCTTAATGTGTCACTAAAGATTTTAAGTCACACAGATGCATCCTACCACGTTTCCATCGGAACTCACTCTTCCACAGTGTTCAGCCAAGCCAAATAAAAGAGAAGTGAAGGAAGCAGATCAGGGCCTGCAGGATCATTTCTTCTTGGAAAAGAACATCCCAAACACTCTTTCCATAGCCCTCAGCACCTCCTTGTTCCTCAGGCTGTAGATAATGGGATTTAGCATAGGGGTGAGGATGGTGTAGAAGACGGCCAAGATCTTGTCTTCTGCTGGGGAGCGGAGACTCCTAGGTCGCAGATAAGTGTACACAAAAGGAGCATAGTAAAAAGTCACCACAGTCAAATGTGTGCAGCATGTGGTGAAGGCCTTTTTCCTTCCCTCTTTGGAGTGCATGTGGAGGATGGCAAAAAGGACCCGTGCATAGGAAGCAGTAATGCAAAGGAAAGGGAGGAGGAGGAACATGCTGGTGCTCACAAAAACCATGTACTCATAGACCCAGGTGTCCACACAGGCCAGGGGCAGCATGGCTGGGACATCGCAGAAGAAGTGATTGATGGCCCTGGACCTGCAGTAGGGAAGATGAAGGGGGTAGGCTGTGTGTGCCAGGGAGTTGATGGAGCCCAGGATCCAAGACCCTGCGACCATCTTTGCACACATTCTTTTGCTCATGCGGATGGGGTAATGGAGAGGGTGGCAGATGGCCACGAATCTGTCATAAGCCATGGAGGCCAGGAGTAGCCCTTCGGAGCATGCCATCGTCAGGAAGAAGAAACTTTGCACCCCACACCCCAGCAAGGAGATGCTCTTCCGGCCAGAAAGGAAGTTGACCACCATGTTGGGGACAGTGCTGGAGATGTACATCAGGTCCATGAGTGACAGCTGGCTGAGGAGGAGGTACATGGGTGTGTGCAGCCGGACGTCCACACGTATGAGGTGAATCATGGTCAAATTACCCACAGAAGCGAGGCAGAATATGAAGATGACAAGCAACAAGAGAAGTAGGCCAGTCTGGTTAGGAGGAAACAGCCCTAACAAAATAAAATCATGTGAAGTTTGGTTCCATTTATCCATGAAAATATTCTTTTTTAAATTCCTTGAAAGAAAAATAAAAATACAATCACTAAGCATGACTGTGAAATGACACAGAAGAGTAGAATTTAAAAGGATTTCATTTTACTAATGTTTGAGTAGAATGAATCGTTTTTCCTCCAACACTATGCCATTTTTTAATTGGAACTTAATACCTGAATGGAAGGTCAGTTTCCAATTGTTTCTGGTAACCATATCTATATAGTCTGGAACCACAGGCAGTAATCATCAATCAGAGACATTCCTTCCTTCCTGGATGACTCTTGCAACCCACTACTCAGGAGCACTACTAGGTCCCAGAGATGGAGGAATGAGAATCCCTCCTCCCTTTGATTCCTCTTAGCATATCAACAATAGCAGCTCATGGGCGTGACTCGGGATTTGTGTGTACAGAAATACTGAGATGTTGGTTATCTTGCTCTCCTTTAATATTTCAGAAATTCCTTGTGCTTCGCACTCCCATGAAGAGCTTGATAAATAAATCTTGTTCCTCTCTTAGATTTTTCTACCTATTAAATTCTCTAAAGACTTTCTTCTGACCTTCGTGAAATGTGTCCACAACCAAATTCTGCCCTTGAACTGTCAATGTATTGTGTGTCCTATAAGATCAGCCCTACTTTTAGCATATTATTACAGTATCTTGTCATTTCTAATAATGTTTCCATTTTACAAGCCCTAAGATCTCAAATTTATTTGCACTGTTTTTCGTGCACATTTTCTTTTTTCATGTAAACAATTTATACCTAAGGAAGGTGATACATTTCATACTATGTATTTTCTCCATGTTTTACAGCTCCAAACTATGACTACAATAATGCTGGAAATATAACATGGATATGGGATTCAATAAAACACAGACCTATATTTCCCTATCCATTTGTATTGGAATCTTAGGGATCCGTAACATGCGTGTGTTGCTCTTCCCGTGGTTTCATTTATCATTGTCCTTCCACAGCACTGATGCTGCACATTTTGGCATAAAGAGCTTCTTTTCCCAAGTATTAAGGGTACTATTCATTAATGGGAAGAAAACTTTTCTAAATTACAGCTAGGGCTGGAACCAGATTGGAGCCTGTGTGGTGGCTTTAGATTCTAGAATTTCTAGTAATTGCTGGGTGAGTGCATCCAGGTCCATTCATGTGCTTGTTACACCGTCCCTTCGACTGACCAGGTCTCTGAGTGTGGGCACGGGAGCACACTGTGCCTGTTCTGCTGCCCGCAGGTCTGCACATGTGGAAGAAGCAGGACCCTGGCACTAAGCACAGCTGCTCAACTAGAAAGGGAAGGGTGAGCAGCTGCATGCTCCTGATGTGTGGCTCTCCTACGCAGATCTAATTAATTAGAGTGCAACAAAATAGTCATTAATAATGTAGAGTTCTCTTCCTGGATAATTTTTCTCCTCTCCGTGACCTGGGTTTTCTTGGGAGCTTCTGTCCACAATTCGATTCCTGGTAGCCTCCCTTCTCTCTCCCTTCACAATGCTGGTGATCCTTTCACTCACTCCCCGCACACACTCACCCTGGCAGCCTGTGTTTGAATTCTCTGATCCTGCCTCGGGCTGAGGTTTCATGCTGCCCACACCTGTGCTCTGCTGTCCAGTGGAAATGCGGATGCTACTCACATACTGCCCAGGACATGGACTTAGGGAGGAATCAGGCATTAATGATTTTTCAAATGTAACAAAAGGGCAAGAATAGCTTATTCTAATTACATACTTGTAGTAGTGTAAATCAGATGTTACTTCATGTATCTTTGCTAATCGTGCACCCATGTAAGAAAGAAAGTTCCACAGGAAAATGGGGATGCATCTTTATTGCTCTTTTATACAAAAAGCACCACCACTGAAAAGGCCATGATCAGAGAGCTGACAGGCACATGGTGCCATTGGATGTCAACGCTAGCTGAGGTCATAGGCATCCTCTGCTTCCTACAATATTTTACAAATAAAAATTGTGATCTGACCAACAAAGATAAAAATGAGAGCACCGTTATCACAACATATTTATTCCTTCAAATTGTATTCAGTGTTTGTTTCATTGTAGCTCTACTAGATACTAACATACTGTACAGCTAAAATGCACAAAAGCATATGATGTGCTGTTAAAATTTAGTGGGCAGCTCAAAAGATACAACAAAATGTTCAAATGCACAGCCTAATGTTGTGTGGTCATTATCACAGAAAGGAGATTGGGTAGAGGCAGAGAGATGTGTATGAAGTCTCGCTAATGGCCATTGTGTGCAGTGCTTCTGAATCTGAGTCTGTTCACTAAGCATTCTACTCGGGGAGAACAGCAGGAGAGAAGCTGTGGAGAAGCCTTTTCTGAGAACAAGGACAGCACTGATGAGATGAGATGCGGAGAGTGTGTGTATACAGCACAAGGCGGAAGTGCTTTGGTGTGGAAGGAAGGAAGGTCTTGGAACTGGACCATGGTTTGAAGAGCAGCCAGGGGTGTGCCACAGGATGCTCCTTTGGGAGATCTAGGGGAGGGTGCATGGGGTGCAGTATTCAGCAGACAAAAAGAGCAGCTGCAGACCACTCTGGATTAAAAGAAAAACATGGTCTTGCATCCGGGGACCGTGACCCGAGGTCTGGCACATCAGCACAGCTGCCTGCTGGTGAAGTAAGAGCTGTGTCCCATGCATCAGTCCATTCTCCCTCAATGGTTAGCTCACAACAAATCTACTGGTAAAATAACCCAAACATTAACCTTATGAAAACTTAGTCGGATAGTTTAATCCAACAATCTGTGACGGTATTGGTTCAGAAATCAAACTTCGGTGTAATTGCCCCTAAAATTTAGGATTTAGGGGTTTCTATATTTCTATATTTCCTTCTTTGATATCAACCTAAATTCAAAAAATAAAATACTCCAGCAGTCCTTGCCAGAGACTCATTTCAAATAATAAATACGAACATGTAGTGTTTTGAGTTAATGAACTCTATGGGACACTCTTCTCACAGGAAGACAATGTTTGCGTTTATATTTCCTGCAGAATAGGTTAGAATTTAGACTATCAAAAAGATGGGCCAAGAGCATAACTACAGCTATTTCATTCCCAATATTTAAAATGATCATTCTGTCAGGCAATGAAAGATAGTAAGTCCCTGACTGCAAGATGTTAAATAGCTGGGATATTGGAGTGAGAATGAAGAGTCTGATTCCACTGATACCCAGCAGCTTCCTTCTCTAGGCATGGGACCTTATTTAATGCAGCAAGAATTCATAAAGCATAACTCTCTTGGTTATATTATAATTAGGAAAATACTCCTATCCTCAGAAATCAGTTTAAGATGAATATCTTCTGTGGTTGTTATAAAAGTCACAAAAGTCATAAACATCATAGAACTCTTTGTGGTAAAACATACAGTTTAAAAATAATATTTGTTTGAGAGAATTAATACACCTAAGTGTAGAAACTGTGGGTGCTGAATTTAATTTGCATGAGTTACTATTATTCCATATGCACCTTTAAAAGTATTAGAAATAATGATCCCATGATCAATACACAATAGTTTGAGCTTCATCTATCTCAATCCCAACAATGCCAAAGGACAGCACAGAGCAGATCCTCAGTAAGGTCAATTGCCTTTGTCCAGTCAGGCCCCAGGGAGAGCCACTATTTTAACTAAAGAAACAAGTCTCCAGAACAGCACACAGTAGCACTCTAAAAGTTGCAGGCTACTTTCCGGCACAGTTTGTATTTTCAGTTTGTTTTGAGACTCCTAATTCTCTGTGCTGCACAAAAGGCTTCCTTTCGGTAGGAAAACCATATCTCCAAAGTACCCCCTTAGTTAAAGCTGACTCAGAGCCACTCAGGTCAGCAATGGTATTTGGACTCACCTTGTCTGAAATTCTTTAGTTTGTATTTTGAAAGAGGAAATATGATGACCATTTCCTGATAAGAGTCTGTGGAAGTTCTTTAAAATTTTCAGGCACAAAACTGTGCCCATGTAGGCTGTGCAATAAGATTGTGTCACTTGTCATCCCAGCCTGCACCAAAATTCAATTCCTCTGCTGATAAGAGAAGCCCTTCTTCACCTGTCCACTCACAAGAAAGAAGTTCTCACATACAAGCTGTGGTACGCATTCCTCACCGCTCCTGGAATAGCTCTTTGTGTGGAAACCAAAAAACAATTTCGCCTTCTCTTGTGACATATTGCATGTATAGTTAATTAAAGCTATGTTCCCTATTATCTCATCTGAGGGAAAACTGAATGAGACATTTCACGCTTTATTCCCTCAAGTTCTACTGATGGAAAACAGAAGGACAAGTTGCTATGTTTTATGTGTTCAGCCTCATATCATCAAGCCTTAGATGCTCCTCTCTTTTTTCTAATTGGTCCCCAATGCCCATGTCCAAAAGGACAAAATCTTAGTTATTTCACTTAACTTTGCTAATTTGGAGATGACTCCATTCTAGATTTAGGATAAATCAATAAAATAAGTTTATTCTAATACATTCTTTTGCATTTAAGTGTCAACCAGAATTCAACTAAATAGGCATGCCTTTAATTATAAGAATATGATTTTATAAATAATAAATTTCTCTGAGTATTTAGGAAATGAAGAATGATTTTACATCATGCCTAGGAATATGCCCTGAGAGTAAACTATTATTAATTAAGTTGTATAGAAACTGTGCAGTATGCATGTAAGTTATTATTAAATGAGTAAAATATTTTCAGTTACACCTGCCCGTTAGAAATTCTTATCATAATTTTGTGCTAATTTAGAAAATCAAGCATAACAGAAACTATAGAACTGACACACAAATGCATTGAGTGATTACAACATCCAATGAATGCTTAAATTTTTATAAATGATTACAGTTAGACACATTTGCACTAATGACCCTAAAAACATTTCACCTTACTTGAATCACACTGACATTCCATTATTCTTACCTCTCTCTGAAGCACTTCTGCAAATCCTCTTTTATAAATATCTTTAGGAAATGACAATTATAGTGCATGCCACTGCCAATTGCCTTTAATGAGTACAGAGCTCATTAAATGAATGTGACAGTGTGTCCTCATCTGCCTGGTTTCTCAGATCTAGAACCTTGGAAACCCTGGCTCTTTCCCAGAGTAAAAATGACCATGTCAGATAAATATTTTGAATGTATTCCAGTCACCAGTTTAGCCACAAAGCAGAACTAAAGGTCCTCATGAAAGGAGACTTACAAAACTGCTTCAGGAAATAGCAAGGACAACGGGATAAGTGTGTTCAAATGTTGGGGAGTATTGCAAGAGGGAATCATGACAATGTATCTTCTGAAATACTAGTTTCAAAATTTTGAATATTCAACTAAGTTTTTGATCTCACTATAACTGAAAGATTTCCAGAGGTTTCACTATTTTCTGTTCTCAGTTTTCATGTCAGCAAATTACTTCACATTAGTAAAAAAGACACGGCCATCACTAGATGGGGAAGAAGTAATAAAGAAAGATAAATATTAGGGTTCAGAATATATGAGTATTTTGCCACATCTGATGAATGTTCGATATTACAGACTAAATTCAGTTTAAGTGCTGGACATTAAATATTTTACAAGTAGTGACGCACTGAAGCATTTTCAGAGGCAGGAATGGGACTACGTATTCACAGAGTAGATTTTCTGAGGCACTCTTCCGAGGGCCCCCAGCACTTCCTTGTTCCTCAGGCTGTAGATCACAGGGTTGAGCATTGGGGTGAGGAAGATGTAGAAGACAGCCAGAACCTTGTCCTCCTCAGGAGATTGAAAGGACTTTGGGCGGAGATAAGTATAAGCAAAAGGTGCATAGTAGAAAGTCACCACAGTGAGGTGGGCGCTGCAGGTGGAATAGGCCTTTTTCCTGCCTTCCTGTGAGTGTATGCCATAAACAGCAAGAAGGACCCTAACATATGAACACAGAATACCCAGAAAAGGAAACACAAGAAAGAGAATGGTGCTAATGAACACAGTGTACTCATAGACCCTGGTGTCCCTACAGGCCAGAGTCAGCATGGATGGAACATGGCAGAAGAAGTGATTGATTGTCCTGGACCTGCAGTAAGGCATGTGGAGGACGTAGACTGTGTGAGCACAGGAGTTCACAGCACCCATGGCCCAGGATCCCAGGATCATCAGCACACACACTCTTCTGTTCATGCGGATGGGGTAGTGCAGAGGGAAGCAAATAGCCACATAACGGTCATAGGACATAGACATCAGGATAAGTCCTTCTGAACCTGCTAAAGTTGCAAAGAAGAAGCACTGAATCCCACACCCAATGAAGGAGATGGACTTATTTCCAAATAGGAAACCAGAAGCCATCTTGGGCACAGTGGTGCAGATGTAAATGAGGTCCATGAGGGAGAGCTGACTGAGCAGGAAGTACATGGGTGTGTGGAGCTGGGCGTCCAGGAGGATGAGCAGCACCATGCAGAGGTTGCCAGTCAGGGCCATCAGGAAGATGGGGACTGTGAGAATGAAGAGGAAAAGGCCCAGGCTGGATGGGGGGAAGAGGCCCAGGAGGATGAAGTCGGTAGAGGTCTGATTGTAATTTTCCATGGTGTACTGATATGGCTTGTTTAAAGACAGACACAGCAGTGAATAGTTAGAGATCATCATTAGGCAATTTTTAAAAATTCCTTAAAGTACCATCTACATCTTTCATGCAATTGTGAAATTTAAAATCCATAGAATTATTTTCCCCTGAAAAATTAGTTATTTATGAAACATCTATTATGGAAAATGTTTTAAGATACATGAATCCTGTAGAACAATAATATTTCTATTAAAACTTCCAGAAAATGTAAATAGTTTATTTTTCCATGTGAACTTCTAAATTATCAAATTCTGATGTTACATTATTCATATTACTTGAGTAGCAGCCTCCAAGCTGTGCAGATACATGAGGACTACAGAGCCACTCAGGCAACCCTGGAGCATCACTCCAGTGCATCCCCTGGCTTCCTGGTTGTGCTGGCACCTGGATCCACGCTGCAGTGGCAGAGGAGGTCACAAAGGCTGAGGTCCAAAAAATAGGGAATAAGAAAAGAACAGAAAGAGGGCCTCTCTTAGGCTCCTTGATGAACACTGAAGCCCACTGGAAAAGTGAAGAGAATTTATGCAGTAAAGGCACACCAGACCACCATTGTTGGTAAGTTGGAAGGATCACCACCTCCCATCAGAACCTGAACTATCCTCAGGGGAAGCGCAGCTGGATCCTGTAGCAGAACCTTGCAGAGTTCAACCCTGCAGAAGGTCAGGGAGCTCAACCACTGTCTTGCAGCCAGAAATCAGCCTGAACCTCAGGGGTCTGCTGCTGGCTTGCTGAGACTAATTGACTTAGATATGCACACTGCTGCCCACATCGTCTATTGTGAAAGCAAAGATATACCCTGAAGAAGGCCTTTCATATTAAAAAAAAATTTCCTCTTGTTTCTAATGTTTACTTTTTATTCTTTAAATTGTATTTTTCCACTCTCCAAATTCTTCCTTATTTCATTCTCCTTTTTTTCTTTCTCTTTCTCACTCAATCTCTCACTCTCCCACATTGTTCTTCATCTCCCTATTTGTTCCTGTTCCTTCCCTAATTTGGATTTCTCCTTTCTTTTTCTGTTTTTCTCTCTTTTTGCTTCTCTTGATTGTCATCAATTTCAAAGGAGAATGAGTACAATTTATAGCTTCCCTATTGCCATTACATTGTTCTATTCTTGCCTTTTTCTTGCACTCTGTCTTTTCCTCTTGTCTTCAACAGTTTTCTAGAGTTTTCGTGATCTTCCTGTGTCCTCTGGACTCACTTCTAACCATCTCCCATCTTTCTGCCTATACATTCCTTTCTTCCCAACTTCTTTTAAGTTCCCATCCTGAAAGGTATAAATTGGCTGTATTGAAGAGTTTGTTCACTATACACATATTTTGGGCTGGTCCTCGATTTTTATTTATTTCAAATGGTTAAAGGTGATAGATTAATAACTACCACAAATTGTCAATTTCTAAGCTGTGCTTGATGCTATCACTTTGCTGATAGCATCATTTGGGCTAAGGTGTGGTGATTAATCTAATCAGTTTTCCTTGCTTTTATTATGAAAATGGGAGTCTCTCCAAGTCATTAGAGATTCAAAACTGAAAGACAAGCTATATCTAGAAGATCAAAGTATTAACCCAAATATTAATCCAAGAACTGCACCAACAACAAAAATAAAAATGAGAAAACATTTAAGCAAGGCATAAATACAAATTTTTCAGCAAACCAAAGGCAAATTCTAGGGGAAATAAGATGGAAAAGTCTGAAAACAAATGACAAGAATACTCTGAACTCATAGCATAAGAAGTAACAAAATAAATCAATCAGGCTCTACAAAAATTCAAAACAGAAATAATTTCCTAGATAAATACAGAGATGGTGAGCACAATGAAAGACATGATTAGAGATTAGAACAGAAACAGATAAAAAATAGATAAGTTCAGGACCATGACAGAATCCATGAATGTCCATCACAGGAAAGAAATGGAATCCATGAGACAGATACAGATAGATGTCCAGGAGATTTAAAAAAAAAAAACTCTAAATGAAAGTATACACAACAGGCTGAGCCAATCTGAAGAAAGAATATCAGATATAGAAGACAGAATTGTGGTCAGTAACCAGGAAAAGAGATCTCTTAAAAATAGTGAAGGACCAAGAGAAATAAATCTACCAGTTCTTGATAAAACAAAGAAGAATAATACAAAACTGATAGGAGTCCATGAAAAAGCAGGAGAAAGTACAAATGAAATTAAAAATGTGTTCACAGAACTGCTGACAGAAAACTTTCTAAGCAGAGCAAAATAATTTGACATACAGATAAGTGAGGCATATAAGACTCCAACCAGCCATCATAAAAAAAAAAAAAATCTACATATAGACATAGAATAACCAAGGTCCAAAACATCCAACAGAAGAAGAAAATACTGCAAGAAATTCAAGAAAAGAAACAAATCATATGCAAAGGAAAGCCCATCAGGATCACAGCAGGCTTTTCAACACAAACCCTCAAGTCAAGGAGAACTTGGAGTGAGGTATTTCAAGCCCTAAAAGAAAACAGCCTCCAACCTAGACTGATGTATTCTGCAAAACTATCTTTCAAAATTGATGAGGAAATAAGATACTTACTTCCTTGACAAAGAACACCTCAGAAAATTCATGAATATCAAACCAGAACTGCAAATAATTCTAAACAATATCCTAGAGAAAGACAATGAAGCTTACAACACCATAAGGCCCAACAGAACAAATTAATTAGGTGGAGTAAGAAACTAAGGGAGAGGGAGAAAAATAAAAAAGAACCAGCAACAGGACAATAACATAACAATGCTGTCAATACATATCAATTATAAAGATCAGTGTTAATGGTCTCAATTCACCAAAAAAAAAACAAAAACAAAAAAAGAAATAAGAAGAATGGTTTAAGAAGCAAAATCCAACAATATGTTGCATATAGAAAATTCACCTATTTAAAAAAGAAACTCATAGACTAAATGTAAAAGGATGGAAAACAGTTCTCCATCTGACAGGGACCCGGAAAAAAGCAAGGGTAGCTATATTATTTGAGACAAAGTAAATTTCAAAGTAAAACTAATAAAGAGAGAGAAAGAAGGTCACTATATCCTTGTAAAGGGAACAATCCAAGAGGAGGATATGACAATGAACCTATTTAAAAAAGAAACTCATAGACTAAATGTAAAAGGATGGAAAACAGTTCTCCATCTGACAGGGACCCGGAAAAAAGCAAGGGTAGCTATATTATTTGAGACAAAGTAAATTTCAAAGTAAAACTAATAAAGAGAGAGAAAGAAGGTCACTATATCCTTGTAAAGGGAACAATCCAAGAGGAGGATATGACAATGAGAATAACCACTAATACAATTATAGTGAGGGACCTCAACACCCCACTGTCACAAATATTCAGAACATCTGACAAAAAATCAACAGTAAAATATTAGAACTGAACCAAGCTTTTGAACAATTGGCTTAGTAGAAGTCTACAGAGTGTTCCACCCCACAAAATCAGAATATACACTCTTTTTGGCAGCACATGGATCATTCTGTAAAATAGACCACATACTAGCTCAAAGAACATGTTTATGTAAATGCAAAGGAATTGAAGCTATCCCATGTTTATTATCAGACAATTATACTGGAGATGAGTAGCAAAAGAGACCTCAAGAACTTCACAAACACATGGAAATTGAATAATACTTATCTGGCCAAACAATGAGTCCCAGAGGAAATTAAAGATGAAATTAGATGGCTTTTACAAATAAATGATAATGCCAAGACAACATACAGGAATCTATGGGACACAATGAAAGCAGTTCTACAAGGGTAATTTATAGCAGTGAATGCCCACATTAGGAAAAGAGTGAGCTCTAACAAATATCTTAAGCTTCGGGAAAAAGAAAAGCACAGAAGAAATGGACAGATTTCTGGATACATATGAATTACTAAAGTTGAACGAAGATATAAAAATTCTAAACAACCCAGTTATAATAACTGAAATTGAAAATGTAATTTAAAATTTACCAACAAAGAAAAACCTAGATTATTTTGGCTTCACTGCTGAATTTAGACATTTAGAGAAGAACTACTGCCACTATTGAAAAAGAAGCAATACTTTCAGATTCATTCCTGGAAGCAAGTATTACTTTGATTCCAAAACCAGGGAAAGACCAAACCAAAAAGGAGAACTGCAGGCCAATCTCCTTAATGAACATAGATGCTAAAATCCTTAATAAGATAGTGGCAAACAGAATACAGAGGGTCATCAAGAAGATCATACATCCTGACCAAGTCAGATTTATACCAGAGATGCAAGCATGGTTCAAGATACGTAAATCAATAAATGAAATACACTATCTTAACAGAGTCAAGGACAAAAACCATGTGATCATCTCAATAGAGGCAGAAAAAGCATTTGATAAAATTCAAAACCCATTAATGATAAAAACCCTGCAAAAATTGGAATACATGGTCTATATCTCAACTTAATAAAGTCTATCTATGAAAAACCAAAAGATAACATCATATTAAATGGCCAAAAACAAGACAAGGATGTCCACTATAACCACTCCTCTTCAATATAGTTCTGGAAATGTTCAAAAATCAATAGCTTTCTTGTCCTCAAATAACAGACTCACTGAAGGTGAAATGGGGGAAACAATCTGTTTCACAATGGCATAAAAATGAAGTATCTAGGAATCAATCTAATGAAGGAAGAAAAAGACCTCTACACTGAAAACTACAGCACTCTGAAAAAAAGAGACTGAAGAGATACGAGAAAATTGAAAGACATCCCTTGTTTCTGGGTAGGAAGAATCAAAATAGTAAAAATAGCCATACTACCAAAACTTCTGTACAGATTCAATACAATCACAATTGAAACTCCAACAGAATATTTCACAGAATTAGAGAAAGCAGTCCAATAATTCATCCAAAAGGAGAAGGGACCTAGAATAGCAAAAGCAATTCTAGGCAACAGAGACACGGCAGCAGGTATTCCAATACCCAACTTGAAACTATACCC